GGCGCAGCCTCTCAAAGGCCATTGGCTGAAGGAGATTCCCCATTACCTCCCCCTTTTTTCTAAATAAGAGAGTTTCAAACCAATACAAAATTATAAACAATAAGAACAGATATCAAGTATAAAAATTAGAATTACAGACAGCATAAATAATATTAAGCAAGTAACACTTGTAAACAATATACAAGTATTTTGATCAGAGGTAGAAATGCATAATGAAATATGATAACTATATACTAAAATTGTATCAATATATAAAATGTCTTAAACACAGGTAGAAACATGCATGCATACAATCTGACAAAATAACTTTGCATAGGTGTATAAATATTGCAAACAGAAATAGGAATATATTATATTCAATATAACAAATATAATTTGAATTTCTATCAATACACAAGAATCTATAAATCTATACCAAGGTAAATTCTCTATAAAACCTCACAAGTATTCACCCTATTACTCACTATTGTTTTTATTATTAGTGTGAGTAAGCTCACACTAATCTACCTATTATCCCATTTAATTTTCCCTATTATTTCCCAAAGAGATCTCTGAACCTACATAATTTCCACCCCAACCCCCAGCCCTATCCCAGTAATAATCAACTCCTAAATGATGTTCTTAACCCTGAGGACAAACTGTTGGGAGAAGGGCCATGTCTTCTAAAATTACTTCCAGCTGTTGTGGGGGCGATGCCCTTTCTATGGCATCCTGTAAAACTAAAATGATGGTTACCTTTGAAGATTACTGTCTGGTATAATTGCAAATGGACTCTGAGTAGTCAATAGTTTTTTTTTTTTTTCTGAAGTTCTTATTTGGAGTTCTGGCCAGGATGTTGCAAGAAGGTGCACTATTTCAGCTAACCAAGTTGGAATCATCTTGAGCAGCTGGTACCCAAAACTGGTCTTATAGTAGCGCTACCAGCATCATGACATTATATTAACCAGGTAGAGTCGTTGTTCTGGAGGCCCATCTTTTTCCTGGAAACTTCAAAGATTACTGCAGGAAAAGTTTTCATTGTGAAGACCTTAAACAATATTCATATAGATATATATTCAACAGAAGATACAATATAGACAAAATAGGTATGGAGAAAATAAAATTTTTTCTAAAATCTTTCTTTGTTCTGTCCCATGCCAGTGACTCCTCACATGAGAAACTCTGAATTTTTCATATATATATATATGAAATTCATATATGAATTCAATATATATATTGAAATTTTACCCTCAGATGACCTGCCCTCATAAGTCATATTCCTTTTTTGTAGGTGATCCTTTCTGGATAGTTATTTTTTCTTCTTTAGGCATCCAAATGTCCAGGGTCTCTTGACTTTTTTGAAGACTAGTATTTTCCTACAAAGACAAGAATAGAATTCCACCCCAAAACTATTTGAGGTTTCCTTACCACCTGTATGACTGCCAGCTCTGTGAATGAGCTGTCATTTCTCTTTATCAAAAGGTTTATCCTTTTCAAATAGAATCTTTAATAATTTTGATGGTATCCATAGCTTTTCTTCCCCTGTGGAAACAAGAGCAAAACCCCTTGCCCAATGTAATACATCTCCTGGTTTCCATTCTGAGGTCAATACATTGTTGAAATACACCAACCAATTTAATTCAGAAGTTTTTTCTATTATCCAATGTCCTTCTGCTGCCATTATTCCTTTCTCTTTAACGTTAAAAAAAAAATTCAAGGCTAATAAAGCATTATACAATCTATAATCTAGTAACACAGGAGGGGACTTTGATAGTAGTATACTTTGGGCACACATCCAGTGGACCCTGGTCCTCTTTCCCTGATGAATGACCCACAACTCTCACTTAAGACTGAATCTTAGCAGCCAAGTTATCCCAGGTGAGTGACTCCTCACCACATGGGCTGAACCACAAATGGACCAGCATGAACTCAGGAAAGCAAGTTGACCCTGAAAAGAACCTGGGACTGTTTTCATGAAGAGAGGATGGAATTGTAACGGGTGTGGTGTCATGCTTGGGCACACGGTATGATGTGAATGTGGAGAAAGCCAGGGGGTAACAACAAGAAGGGGTGTGGGTGAAACCTCTGACACCCTAATTTTCTGAATCCCTACCATTCTCACATCAGCTGTCCTCAGCCTATTGGGTGCTTTGCATGAATTGCTAATTTCATTTAAGTCAAATCAACATGGGTTTCTGTCATTAGCAGCCAGGAGAGTCCGACATAAACAAACCAGCAAGAGCATCTCAGAATAGTAAGAATGGTAAAAAATTATATGAAAATTTGTTTTCTTCTTTATGCTTTTGTGAATATTCATAGTTTTTCTAAAGAAAGTAAGATATTTCCATAATAAAAAGAATGAAGTGTATTATGAAAAAGGGAAATATTTATTTCTAAAGGCATGTCTTGTTTTTCCTCTCCCTACAGAGAGATCCTCACTACTCAAATATTCTGACACATAATTCTTGTGAAGGAAAATAAAACTTACTTTTTAAGCAACTTAGTGTGCTGTTTGGTGCTGGTGTTCCCACCAGCCCAAGAGGACATTATGTTAAGCAAACACCACATCTAGAGATGAGCTCTGTTGGTCAAGAGATGGGATGAGTCTCTGTCAACAATTGCTTTAGTCATATGACCTGATCTGAGGTGATAGAACTCAAAAAGAAACTTAGAACCTTTGTTATATTTTTTTCCTGAAGAGCTTCAAGAGATTACCCTCTTAACAGATGGAGACCCAAGCAATGACTGCCATCCTGTTCACACTTGTTCTCCAACACCTAGATGACAAGATAGGTAAAAGAATGAAGACAGCGCCCGTTCAACCCGTGCTGACCTCAGCTTAACTTTGGACATCCTCTTCAAGACTTCTGTTGACTTTTAACTAGCTTGCTTTTGGTCATACATCTTTTGGATCCAAAGCTTCTAGACACGGCTGTGAAATCAGGACTATGTTCCCCCTCGGTTCTTAATCCCTAGTCTATCTTTCCAGTTATTTCCACATTGCCCTATCTCTGAGCCGATTTCCTTATTGCCTGCTGGATTTTGGGTAGTTCATCTTATAATTAGCACACATGTGGAACTTGCTTGGTGGCATCGCTCAACTACTACCACTCTTCCTGCTGTTCCCTTGATCACACAGAAGATACTGATACTCTTGCAGATGACTGCCCAGTCCGCCCACCCTTTGCCTATATGTTCAGCATGTGGTTTAGAGAAGTGTGCCCTGGGATGCATCACGTGGCACCTTGACATGATCCATGCAAATTAATTCTACAGAAGAGTGTTACATTCGGTAGTAATTTATTCTGTCTTGGTTTGTGCTGGTTTATACAAAATACCTCATGAAGAAATAGGTAGACTTTAGCAGCAATTAAATCAAAATTCTTATGCTGTAGCTTCTAGGGTATAATCAACATTGATGAAGCTTCTGAACAAATTTAGTTGCAAGAGCCCTTGGGATATCTGACTGTACAGAGTCCCAGTAAATCAACTCCACTTATGCAAGACGTGTTGACTCAAGCAAGGGCTTTTTATCAGTTTCACCCGCTAGTCGACTGAGGAAAACTGTAACTGGCAAAGGATGAATTAAGTCAAGAGGGCAAAGAGCAGACCACAACATATTCCCCAGCGGCAAATGAAGGCAAACTATATCCAAGACTTCAACATCCTAACAATCTCCTTAACCATTACAGAAAGGCAAGGGGATATTTGTTTGTTTGCTGTTTCTTTTAGGTACTGATTCAACTTAGGATCTAACACATGCTAGACAAGGGTTCCACCACTGAGTTATACCCCCCCCACGCCGAGGCACAAACACAAGAGTTTTGCATAGCTTCAAAGTCCAGGTTTGCAACACTCTAAAATAAATACAAAACTTTATTGTTTTCCATAGACAATTTTTTCAACATCTTAATGCTATTCAAGTCTTTTCAAATAATATTCTTATATCCCTGTCCATGTATTTCTGGTTATAAAATAAAATATATACAAGTGTCTCTATTAGAGTGCTTGATGGATCATAGACCTTGGAGAAAGTGGGTCAATTGGTGTCACATTTCACAAGGATTGTGGTAATGACTAAAGTAAGAAGTAGAAATAAAAAAACCTTGTAAAATTCTCTAACAAAAAGGAGTGTGTGAGAGTGTGTACGTGTGTGAGAGAAAGAGGGGGGGGGATGACACTAAACTCACAATTCTCCTGTCTTCTCCTTGTGGGTACTTGAATGACAGGAGGATAAGACGTGTCTGCTTTATGTAATCTCTAACACAGAGTTTCATGCTAATTGAGCAATTGAGAAGTAACTCTAGCCCAAGAAAAACAACCTTCAGAACTGATTGGAAAGGACTTCAAAAAAAGAATTCCAAATCAGCCATGCAGAATAGCCCCACTGAATTTACTAAAGGACCATCAAACCAAAATATGGGACCAAATGATCTAAGGAAAACTCCTAGCATTTATGGATAACTACCAGAGGAGCTGAGAATCAGCTTTTTCTTGCTGCCCTATGAGGCCAGAAGAGGGCATTGGCTCCCATGAGACTATAGTCACAGACAGTTGTGACCTGCATGGGTGTACTGGGAAGCTGGAAAAGAAGCCATTCCTCTTAACCATTGAACACGCTCTCCAGATCTCCAGATACAATCCTAACATATTTAAATACAGAAACATTGGTGTTTTGGGTGAATCGATAATATAAATAGAAGGATACATATATCGATAATACCTACAAAAAAAACCTTTACTCATGATGGCGAACATTATATAATCCTAAACCAACTATTTTTTCTTAGTATTTTTTGCCAGGTTCTGTGAACTTGTGTAATTAATTACAAAACTGGAGACTGAGACAAGAGAGTTGAGGCCACCCTAGTTGCTTGGTGCATTCCAGACCAGCCTGAGATACAGAAAGACACTAACGCAAAAATCAAAGAACAAATGTTGACCAAGCAAACAAAGGACACAACCCAACAAAGATTGCAGGAAAAGAATAATTAAGCTGAGTTCACTTCATGGCCTGAGAACTGAGATGCAAAGGAGTCTGAACTTGAAGTTGTCTCCTGAGCCTGTGAATTCAAGGCCATTCCCAGTTTCTCTTTTATCAAGTTCAGTGTATCCGGTTTTGTGTTGAGGTCTTTGATCTACTTGTACCTGAGTTTTGGGCAGACTGATAAGTATGGATCTCTTTGTATTCTTCTACTTGCAGACATCCATCTTGACCAGCATGATTTATTGAAGATTTTGTCTTTTCCCCCCTGCATATTTCTGGCTTCTTCATCAAAAATCAGGTGACCATACGTGTGTGGATTTATGTCTGGGTCTTCAATTCAATTTCAATGAACAACGTTTTTGCTGTTATGCTAGTAGCATGCAGTTTTTCATTATTATAGTTCTATGGTACAACTTAAAATTGGGAATGGTCAAAATTTTATCATTCAGGGTTGTTTTAGCTATCCTGGGCTTGTTTTGCTTTTCCATGAGTTAAAAATTATCCTATGAAAAAAAATTATCCTATGGAGGTCTCTAAAGTTTTGTGTTGGAATTTTAATGGGGATTGTGTTGAATCTTTACATTGCTGTTGGTAGGATGGCCATTGTTTCTATGTTAACACTCCTGATATATGAGCATGGGAAATCTTTTCATCTTATAATTGTTGCAGAAGTGTCTGTACAGCCAATCCACTGTGCTGACTTGTTCTTTTTCTAACTAAGTACCACGACTTGCAAAAAGTAATCTGAAGGGTAATCAAAGAAATGAAATTTGGCAAGTGGATGTGTTTCATTTTGAGGAACTTGGAAAATTAAAGAATATGAACCATACCATAAATACATATTCAGGATTTCAATGGGCAACTGCTTTGAGTTTTGAAAAGGCTGGTTCTGTAATCACATATTTATCAAAAGTTCTGGCCATAAAGGTGCAAATTGAGCCTAAAATGCTCCAGCATATGTCTCTAGTAAAATGAAACACTTATTATTTGCTTATTACAATATAAAACATATTATAGGTATACCACATAATCATTCAGAACAAGCTGCTAAAGAAAGATTTAATCTTGCTTTAAAAGATATGCCCAATAAATAGAAAGGGGTAGTAAAGACTCCCAGAGAGAGATTGCACAATGCCTTATTAGCTTAGTCTTTTAAAATGTTGACTAGTAAGGAACAACTACTGTGGAGAAACATTGGAGAGTAGACAAAAGCCACTGAACCAAATCAGCCTGTATACTTTAAGTATGTGTTGACCTCAGAATGGGAACCAATGTAAATATATATTACATTGGGGAGGAGGTTTTGCTTTTGTCCCACCAGGAAAGAAAAACTAAGGATACCATCAAAGTTAATAAAGATTAGATTCGAACATGAGAGACATCTTGATAAGGAGAGAAGATAGTTCATTAAACAGTATGTCAATTCAACCTGGCAAAAAAGGAAACTTTCCAAAGTTAAGGTTGGAACAAGGTTTTGGTTTTGTCTTTCCAAGAGAATGAATATATCCAGCTAAGGAACCTAAAGACAGGTGGGCAAATGAGACAGCTGAAGATGTAGGATGAATGATCCAGAGACAATGCCCTATAAAAAAAGAACAATTTGGCCTAATGATACAGCATACTTCCAATAGGATAAAATCTTGTAAATCTTCCCAATGTTTGTCCTTACTGTTCTCTACAGACATATAAGGTCACTTTGTAGTCTTAGTTCAACTAAAAACTAAAGCTGGCTTTGGAGTTCGAACATGGCTCTTTCCTTCTCTAAATCCAAGCATGTTTGTTAAAGGAAATTTCAAAATCTCTGTGTCATGTCAGATGAACCACCTAGTATAGAACAGAAGAAAAATCAAAATTAGGGACTGTTCTTTTGCCCCTAATATCTTAATCTTTTGGTTTTATTTTGGTTCTTTAAAACTTTTCTTTAGGTATAAATATTATCTCAAAACTAATAAGATTAATAGAATGTGTATAAATGTACATATGCTATATATATATATTTCTCTAATAATATTAATGGTCACGTACAGAGCACTACTGATTCTAGAAATAGGCTTTATCTAGCTTCCTGTATGTAATTTCAGACTTCAGTCTAAAGCAGATAACTAGGTACTAAGTTTGTGTATCCCAGGTATATTTAATAGATTGTGGTCCTTTAACCCCTCATTTTTTTAGGGTTTCCTAAAGATGTCATTGTCCCTAGACAGCAGGAAGTAATTTTAGGAAGATGACACTCACATTCCCAAGAGGCACAGTGGTTGGTTTTTGCTTGTTCAATGGATATCTGTTATCATTTAGAGGGGATATCACAAGTTGCTATTGGTCATGGTCAGAGAGGAAAGTAAGCAATGGGAGTTATATTCAGGAATCTTATTATTAAAAGAAAAAGGAAAGTACAGAAATAATAAAATAAAAATGTAGATTATTATATCTACTTTCAAGCTAGAAAAACAGCTACTAGTCTTAAATATCTTACTTTGGTATGGATTTTTGTACATTGATACAAATTTAAGGCTATTTTGTTAATATATACATATATATATGTTTCCACTATTATTAAAGATATTTTTTTATATTGATGTAAATTTAAGGTTATTGTGTTACTGTATTTTATGTTTCTATTTCTTCCTTTAGGTATTGTACCTGTGCGGCCTATTTAAAAATGCAATGTGAAGTTCTAGTCCTTGAAAGCTACTTAGGATAATAAAGAAGTACAGGTTAATAATCATTTATTGCAAGTAAATTTATAGTCATGTAAGGTATATCCTCAAGATCATTCAGAGATATATTTTAGATGGATAAGTGATCTTCAAACACTTCAAAGACCTACAGAATATGCCATTTAAAATGTTTTAATAATGTAAGGCTTTTTGTGACAGTGAAGTACATCTGCTCCTGGCAGCGCCAATATGCTTAATAAAAGCATGATGGGCATCAAAGTACCTCCTTATGGAGCTTGCTTTCACTGTGGCAAAGTTAGCCATTTGGGTAAAGAATTACCTGTGCCTCAACTACTGACAGTATCATGTACAAAATAAAACTAAAACAGGATAAACACACACACACGCCGTACACACACACACACACACACACACACACACACACACACACGCTGTACGCACGCACACAGACCACAAAGGTTACCAAGACAAGGTAGGACAGTCCTTTAAAATTCCTTCTTCACAGAAAATTCTGTCAGACATTCTATGCATGTAGTTTTGCATTGTTAGAGTTAAAGCCTTCCTTTATTATTTACAGAAAAAAAGGAGACATATTGCAGGATATTTGTCCATATAGTCAATCCATTGTGCCAATAAAGCAACCTTGAATCAAATGACAGAGTCAATGATTGAATGACTGGGATTAGCCATAACATTCTTGGAGGACTTGGTGGAAGCAACATGGGACAGGAAGTGAAGAGGAGTTCTGTGGATTTTCTACTGCTCGTGGTTTGGGAAAATCTTGCAGACAGGATCAGTCAATTTGCTCCACTTTTCTTGGATTTTTCAGGTCTTTATCTTAATTTCTGACTCCAAGTTTTTATTATAATAGAACAAATAAGGTAATCATTATATCTGGCGGCCTCAAACATCTTCTTCAGTTTCTTTCTTCAAAGACTTGAAACTTTGGTCATTGTTAGAGATATTCCAATATATTTTATTTTATTTCAGGCTATTATGAAAGGCTTTCATTTCCTGATTTCTCTTTCAGTCTATTTGTCATTTGTATATAGGAGGGCTGCTGATTTTTGTCAGTTAATCCTCTTTTTTTATTTATAAAAATTTATAAATTAATAAAAGTTCCCATTTCCGCCCCTCCTTCCCCTCCTCCCAACACCCTCCCAATCCCCCCACTCCCTCTCGTCCTCCCTCTCCATCCCTAAGAGCAGTCAGGGTTTCCTGCCCTGTGGGAAGTTCAAGTTCCTCCCCCCTCGCTCCAGGTCCAGGAAGGTGAGCATCCAAACAGACTGGATCCCAAAAATCCAGTATATGCAGAGGAAACAAGTCCCAGTGTCTTTGTCAATGGCTTTTCAGAAAGACCCCGTGCCAGCCACATTCAGAGAATCCGGCCACATTCAGGGAATCACTCATAAGTGGATTCTAGCCATAATTAAAGGTCTTTGAGCCTATTATTTGTGATCCTAGAGAAGCTAAATAAAAAGGTGAACCTGAAGAAAATCATGTAGTTATCCTCCTGGAGATTGGAAGTAGACAAGAGTGCCAGGCAACCGCGGGTGCATGGGGAGGGGGAATTGTTGGAAGGGGAGAGGGTTAGAGAGAAGGGAGTAGGGGAGGAATGGGGAAAGCTCGGGGGATTGAGATGGGGGGTAGGGAAGAAGGATGGATATGGGATCAGGGAAGTATGTATCTCAACTAAGGGAGTCATTTTAGGGTTTACAAGAGACTTGATTATAAAGGGGATCCCAGGTCCAAGGAGAGATACCCAGATTGTTCTCTGGACAGAGAAGAGGGTGCCTGAACCGGCCTTGGCCCATAACCATACTGATGAATATTTTCCATATCACCATAGAACCTTCATCTGGTGATGGATGGAGATTGAGACAGAGACCCACATTGGAACACTGGACTTAACTCCATAGGTCCAAACGAGAAGCAGAAGGAAAGAGAACGTGAGCAAAGAAGGCAAGACCAGAGAGAACCTTCATCTGACGATGGATGGAGATTGAGACAGAGACCCACATTGGAGCACTAGACTGAACCCCCAAGGTCTAAATGAGGAGCAGAAGGAGGGAGAACACGAACAAGAAAGGCAGGACCGTGAGGAGTGTGTTCACCCACTGATACAAGGGGACTGATCTAATGAGAGTTCACCAAGGCCAGTTGGACTGGGACTGAACGAGTTAATCTTCTTATGAGTTACTTTACTAAAAATGCTTATCAACTACAGTTGTTCTCTGGTGGATTTTTCAGGGTCATTTATGCATACTATAATTTATCTGAAAATACAGACACTTTGATTTCTTCCCTTCTAATTTGTATAGCCTTGATCTCTTTCAGTTGTCTTATTACTCTAAGACTTCAAGTACTATACTGATAGGTATGGAAAGAGGGAACATCTTTGTCTCGTCCCTTATTTTAGTGGGATTACTTTGCAATTCTCTTTATTTAATTTGATACTGGCTACAACTGTAGGACCCAGTCATGACAAGTTCAACAGAGGCCAAGTCTCAATAGTTTATCCTAAGACAATACCTGCTTCCAAGAAAGACCACAAACTGAGTCTACCCAGGTACCACCCAGGAACAGACCATCTGAAGGAAATTCCTAGGATTTCAACCAC